CTGTGTATTATCACTATTTATGACTCATTTCCTCGGGAAAGTTCACAATGTGTAGTTAACTTTTGGTTTTCCAGAGAATGTCACGCAATGGTAAAAACATCATTATGGTCGTGAAACAAAAGTGAGTCATTTGCATCCTGTCGCGGTCAAGTGAAAATCTTTGGTGGAAGCGAGAAATTTTAACGCTCGCCATCCCAGCTCGAAGCGTTGTTTCTAAGTTATCGCGAGCTAAATTTCAGAGGAATAAAATCAAATACTCCTACGTCGTGAGACCACCAGGAAAAGAGTACCCTCTCGACACCGTTCGTGTTATAAGTCACCTTCTGAAGAACTCATCAAAATATCTTCGGTCTTGGAAAATTTTACAAATTTAACAGGTTCTTAAGGACGAATTCAACGCTCCGTCGTTGACGAAACGTAGTTTTAAGGTAAGCTCTGAAATAATTACTTAAACAAAGTGGTTTGTCTCACCCACTCGCAGTGTTCCATCAGTAACATTACCAGTTTGTATTAACAAAGAAAAACTTTTTACATTCTAAAATATAGACAATCCGGTATGAGGCGTGGGGTCTTGGTTTCATATAGGTCTTTCAGCAAAGTGAGCCGGCAACAATACACTAGGCCATATGATCACAGACAAGAGCAAGTTATGAAAATGGTATCGATCTAAAGTGCTGCGTCCCTGCTTACCTTATTTTTTCAGAAGAATATTTAGTGAGAACCGAGAAAACTGAGTGTTACGAGATAATCTGAAGCATTTTTCCTTTTTATTTTGATTATAAACTACCGTCTACGTGTTACATCCTGTTCTCATTATAGAAATTGAAAGAGGAAGCAGTTGTCATACACATGTTTCGAGGGGAGATGTAAAACGCTCCTTGCTTATTAAATGATACAAAACTTGGCAGGTATTTTCAGTCAGAGAAAAATTTAAGGCGACAAATCAAAATACGAATTCTTTAATACATCATTTGACTTCTTTTGAAAAATGTAGGTTATATTAAGAACACAGCGTAACGGAATATTTATCAGCACATCTGTAGAAAATGAAAATAAGCTGAAATCCAGCTCGCACATAGATTTTGGAATAAATGATCGTCTTCTTTACTCTTTTTTTTTTCCTACATAAATTAACGAATGAACCACATGCTCCTCGTTCTTGTTCGTCATAACTCGAGTCGGAAATTTAACGAAAGTTTGAAATGAGACTGCCTAATTGCATTTGCTTGTTCCACATAAAATCATGAGTGCTACCCGTTGGTGATTTTCATCGAACGCATTCTGGGCGGCGAATATTTATCTATTAGTTTAGTTTGAAATGACAGAAGGAAATAGTCCAATATGAAAGAAAGAAAACATTATCATTAATCCGAGTCATTTCGTTAGTGCCATACCCCCTGACTGTGGTGTACTCAAAGTTCTACGGAGCATGCCCGAAGGTGTGGTTGCAAAAACAACATGGCACGATCGGTAAGAAGTAAAGATCGTGTAGATTATTATTGCTTATAAAAGCAAAAGGAAATATAAACCCGGAGTAAAATCGTATCAAGTGGAAAGACTTGTCGACAAGCGGAAATGGTCGAACAAAGTTTCGCATATTATCATGATAATTTTGCAGAGTTGCAAACAGTGGACTGCTGATTTTATGTCTAGCGTATTTACGTGTACACTACAATATATCACATTTGAATTACCTACCTTAAAATGCCTGGCTAAATTTCCAAAGTGGCTACCAAAACAACGAAAAAAAGTGCCGATGCGGCGAGCGCTTTCTATATTTTTTGACTTGTTGTGATACATCCCTGGTGAAAATCTTTGAAGGATCTTTAACGATCCTACAAGATCTTTATGAGAACCTTTAAAGATCTTCAAAATTCTTGTTAAGATCTTCAGGGATATTTCATTCTCTTGCCAGGATCTTCAAGGATCTTCAAAGTTCTTGTCAAGATCTTCAAGGATCTTTCATTTTCTTGCCAAGATCTTTAAGGATCTTTAATTTTCCTGTCAAGATCCTCGTAGATCTTGTCCGGATCTCCAAAAATCTTGACAAGAACTTCAAAGATCCTTTAAAGATCTTTGAAAATTCTTTGAGGATCTTCCAAATTCTTGTTAAGATCTTTGAAGATCTCTCATTTTCTTTCCAAGATCTTCAAGGATCTTTTACTTTCCTGCCAAGATCATGAACGATCTTGGCAAGAAAATTTTGAAGATCTGTAAAGATCTTGGCAAGAAAATTAAAGATCTTGGAAAGGAAATAAAAGACCCCTAAAAATCCTGACAAGAAAATGAAAGATCCTTGAAGATTTTGAACATTTATTTTTCATCCCACACATTTCTTTATAACTGTTTCTTGGCCAAGGCCTGGAGAGGTCAAGTATGATCAATATCTCGGATTTCTTGTTATGGAAAACTACCTTGTCGTCTTAAATAGAGTGAATTCATACTTAGAAACGAAATTACCATCAGAAAAGCAAGTAGAAGAAGGCAGTAGGGGAGGGGGTGTGCAGACTTTTGGGATATGTATATTTCTTTTTCTTTTGCTTTCCCATTTAAAAATCAAAAAAGAGAATTTTACTTTGGTTTTGTAAAAGTTGTTTCTTATGAGAAAGGATTCAGCATAAACTCTCTCCTCTTGTGGAGACATGGTGGCCTTATGATTAGTGAGGTGGAGTCAGGGTCAAGAGATCTGCATTTGAAACCTGGCCAGGTCATGTGTTTTGTTTTTGTGCAAAATAATTTACTCTCACAGTACCCCTCTCCACCCAGGAGTATAAATGGGTACCAGAAATTAGTCGGGGGGGTAACCATGGGGTGTACTGTTATCATGTCCAGGGAAGAGTAGTAATACCTAATCGCTTCATGTGAGGAATCCAGGATTATAAGCTCAGGGCCTGGATGGGCCACTCTTAAATACAGACTTTACCTAACTACCTACTACAGCCTCTGGTTTAATAATTTCAATTTCTGCTGTTACAAATTATATGAACTTGCAACATACAGATGATTATTTTTTCCCAATTTATCTCAGACAATTAGGCTGTCTTTTGTAAATCTTGAAATTTTCAAAAATCCAGATAGAGGCGGAGTTTCAAAAAAATTCTCAAAAATCCAGACAGAGGCGGAGTTTTCTATACTAATGTCTGAGCACTTTGTGAGCTTCCCGCCATCTGGTGGGACGCGTAATTAAGCACACAGTGGTAAAGGGCCCTTCCGCAGTATCACTTGAAATTCGCTCGGTAATGTAAAAAAAACAACAACAACGCGAGTAATACATATATATCCAAATTCTTTCATCACAGGAAAAGTTGTAGGACCTGATAGCATCTTAGGGACGGACCATTAGATTTTTGATGCGAGAGGGGGGGGGGGGGGGGTATTGGGGTGTTGGGCAATAACCCCCGAAAAAATCGAGCACGGGCTTAATGTAAGAAAACAAATCGTGTAATTGGCAAAATACCCCCCCCCATCAAAGATCTAATGGTCCGTCAATAAGGTACCTTTTACATTATTCCAAAATGGGTTTCATCCCGGATTGAAATGAATTTCATACCGCGTTTACATGCAAAATAGTTTAGATGATAAAAACAAGTAGTAAAAACAAGTATTTACGTCCCTTTTCTATGCTTTCATCGCTCCTAAAGAGGATTCATACAGATATGAGTGTCGTACCGCGTTTACTTTATACAGGTACAAAAAGTCGTCCAGAATAAGTGTTTCGTTCTGGAATGAAAACCTCAATAAACTCATTCAGAAATGACTCATTTCGAATAATTTTACTCTGGTATCATGTGGCAACCGGGATGAACTCTTTCTTGAACAAAACTCATTTCGATATTGTGTAAAAGGCCCCTAAGAGTTTTTATTCCCAGAGCATCATGCTTTGCTTTGCTGCCAGAACACTATAAATTTCAATTGCGTTGAAGCAACAGCCCGCTTTAAACTGCTACGCTACCACTGAAACAACGATTAGTGACCACAAAAGTAACATATTGTAATATTGTCAATTCAACATAAACAAAAATCTTCATACAGGGTAAATATTCATTTGTGTTGGTATCAATTATTGCGTGACTTAGCTTCTCACATAACTGGGATAGGGGAAAACACAACGTAAATACCCAAGCGTAATATAATGACCGAAACAGCTTATTGGTCTTAAAATCATAAATAAACTAGGTAAGAGTGTTATGTTAGATTTTTTTAAACAAATTGTAGTGATTTATGCCTCGATATGTCGATAAAAGGTGGCGACAAGTAGGCACACCATGTATATTTCATTGTCGCTAGCAAGTAAATTTTGTCGGACTTTGAGTTCGTCTCACGATAGAACAACACAATTACACAAGAAAATTTTTACGGTAACCTTATAACCATCCCTTTGTTTTAAAAGCTAGAAGCTCAGTAGATTCTGTCATTTCGGTCACTGTTAAAACTGTCTTTGTTTTGATGCTACTTTTCGACATAGAAAAAGTATGTCGGACAAAAATATTCACCAAAAAATAAATATTTTTTTGCCAGCCTCAATAATGTCAGGGGCTTAAGTTAAGATGATAAAACAAAGGATTATGCCCACAGAAATACCGGAGGTCAAGTAAATTCGTTACATGAGGTCACACAATTCGGGTAATATTCAGAGTGAAAATTTGCATATTTGAGCGGTCGAACGAAAAAAATCATTTCTCAAAAACTAAAATATATTTTCACAAAAAAACTGCACCACAATTATTAGGACATATTAGGCTACAAAATATGAAAGTAGGAGAGAAAACGAATTTGGGCGACTTGCCGCTGTTTGTCTGATGCATGTTGACATTAGCTCTTAACTGGCTTCTAGTTTTATCTATGTATCCCTCCCATTCTCAGAAGGGAAAAAATATTTATTTTTCCACTGGGTAATATGTTGAACTGATGTTTACAATCATTTTCAATCACCTTTTTTTCAGGCCAGGATGACTTAAAAGAACAGGTTTTTAAGAAGCATCAGTCTTCTTACAGTTGCTATGGCTACAGGAAGAAGTTCAATTAAAGTTCCATGTGAAAACGAAGACTTACCTGACAAAGAAAATGCACCAGATTTTGACGAGGACACTTTACGAGGTGAGCAAGGTTCAACTTCGGCTTCAGTAATTGTTAGAACAATTTCTAATGGATCAGTTTCAAGAATGCCAACAGATGTGGAAAAGGATATATACAGTGTATGACCGCTTTAAAGGATATTTGGCCAGTCATGACTCTCTTCTATGATTACAATATGCTGTTCATTGAGAAGATCTATGACACAGAAACCTTTGTTATTTTCTTTTCTAACAGTGCAGAGCAATAACACAAAGTTATAATAAGTTAAGACTTTATTTGATCATCATATAACATCCATTGTGTAAGTTTGCATCATAGGTACCACCATCATCATCATCATCATCTTTCTATTTTAATGAAACATAATCACTTTGAAACCTTCAACATTCCCTCCTTTCTCCTCGAGCAACCCACAGGCATTTGATCTTCATCCAAGCCAAAGAGGGTGGGGATGGGGGGGAGGGGGTTTAACCCTGCCTGACTGGCGTTAGGGAATTTGAATAAAAACTGTCACATCTAATTTCCAGTAGAGTACAAGTGTTAATCATCATTGAATACGGAGGTGTTTAAGGCAGATAGTGCACTTTCACTAACAAATGTCTCAGAAGAAATAAGGCCTCAAGGTCTAGGTTTTAAAGCTTGGTCAATTAGTTTTTAAAGCTTGATCAATTAGTGGAAAGTGAAATTGCTGATTCTTTCGCCTTTTACATAAGATTGTGTGGGCATTTGAACATTTTATTAATTTTGCCCAGGGAATAGGAATTTTAGGAAACCTATCTCCAAAATCTCTCATCTCCAAGGGTTTGCCTCAAGTTGAGTGATGCTTATAATTCTCATCATCATTCTTACCGATGTTGTCACCTACATTGTTAGCATCATCATAACTATTGAAAATCTGCAGATTTTCAATCTCCAGATCTTGGCAGCTCTGACTATACACGAATAATTATTAACTACGACCACAGACTTTGACACCCATTTTTTAATTTTTTTCGAATTATTTTATTTTTTATTTGCAGCCACAGCTGATGTTTATAGGAATGAGGGTAATGAGGCCTTCAAGAAAGGAGATTTCATCAATGCTATTCATTTTTACACCAAAGGAATTAAAATCAACTGCAATGACAAAGAACTGAGGGCCAAACTGCACAACAACAGGGCAATTGCACATTCTAAACTTGGTAAGATGATGAGAGCTTTAATATGCATTTTTTTTTATCTATTTTGAAGCTATTGAGTTGTCAATAGTAGTTTTCTGAAAAAGGTGATGATTTTGAATGCATGCCTGGAAAAATTTACATCTTATCTTGGCCTCTCAAACATACAAAGAAGTAACCTCTTACCCCAGATATCAATGAGCATCACAAGTTTTTCCCAAAATGATAGTAATGGTAGTTGGTTTGCAACATGTATGGCTAATCAGAGATATTTATTTCAATAACAGGAAATCACCAGGATTCACTAAGGGATGCAGAAGCAGCCATTGAGTTAAATCCAACTTTCCTTAAGGCAATTGTGAGAGGTTAGATATGTTAGCTGTGCTATAATAATAGTTACAAAAAAAGAACTCAACACTCTAAGGTTAAATGAGGTTAAATGGAGTTCAATCTTGTTTCAATTGACTTTAATTAAGAGGTCGAGACCACCCTGATGTACATTTGAATCCAGTTCTTGACTGCTACGCCATTACTTTCCATTAATCATGATGAGAATATTATTTTGAACGGGATGACGAACTCAGTGCGGAATACAAAGAAAAATTTCAGCATGAATATTTTAATTCCTTAAGTTCAATGAGTCATAGGTGTCAGATATGTTAAGAGCGTGTCCACGAGAGCACCGGAGAGTCGTGCTACATGCCATCTCACCGATTTCAATGAAACTTTTCCAGTTTAAAGGGTCTACCCCAAAACTCAAAAAGACAAACTGGTTTCTGTTTTGGTTTTTTCTTGGGGGGAGATAGACCACCCCCCCTGTTTTTCTTGGTTTTCGCCAAGGAAATCGCTTCAAATAGGTAAAATGTATGAAGCTCTCACTGTGATGGTATTTAACCGATTACTTTGAGGATTTGCACACACATTTTTATATCCTTAGTTAAAGGTCGCCGCGAGAATCAGTCAGTTTGATCGACTGCTTGTCAATCAACAGAGGCAAATATACGACTGTGTTTTTAGACTTTTCGATTCATCCAAATATTTGACAACTTTGAGGTCAAATATCTCCCGTTTCCAGAAAGCTACAACACTAATCTTAATTACCCTTTATAACCCATCATTTCATCTCTGAAAATCATCAAAAAAATCTTTTGGCACTACCGTATTTTTGTCTTGGATGTCTTTTAAAAACTGCGACTGTGACAAGTTTCTCTTAACTACACCTGTCACGCAATTCTTGTTCTAGGCAGTCACCTGACAAAATAAACCTACATTTTTTAGCTCTTTATACAAGATGATTGATCAAGAAAGGTAAAAAATGTGAAAAACCTTCGAGATTTTTTGTAGGAATGGAAAATTTCACGTTTAGAGAGATGCATGTAGACGAAAAATCAATGGAAAAATCGTAGCGTTTCTTTTTTCAGTCGTTTATTACTTTGAAGATTTGCTGAAATCAGCAGATATGGCTTTTGTACGGCACAAAACATTCATTAGTCTATAATTTGATTGTTTATCATCATCATCGCTCATTTTAGGAGATTTTAAAGGCACATGCTGCGTGTTGGCTGATATTACCAAATGTTCCAGTGTGCTACAACTTCGGCTTTCACAGACGAGAAATTCTGCGCTCTCGCTCGAGAGCAAATATCAATAGTTCTATCGGACTAAAAACTGTGCTTCTATCCCGAAAATGAAATTAAAATGGTGTTGACGTTGTCACTTACCGCCATCGAACATTTACATGCAGAACTCCGCTATGCTAACATCTGTTGTGTGACCCGAAGACTCTCCGTAGGAATTATTCAAGCGCGTTGTTCATGCTGTCTGCTAGATAACAATTTCAAAACAATCCGCAGATCTCTATGATTATTTACCTGCTTCGATCGTAAAATATCTGCATATTTTTTTCAAGCATTCTATTACTACATGTAAATCTACACCTCTCTAGATCGAGTGTTGCCGGCGTTTAATTGCGTGACTTGTAAAATTTTTAAATAAGAATGAGCCAGCAGTAATTTGACGAGTAGGCTTCCTGCAAATTTCCCTTGATGAAATCCTAAGACATAGCCAGTTGTTTTCGTGAGCAAAGACAATAAATATGGAAGAAAAGTGAGATGCAAATGTCTTTTCTGTTTTTTTTTTAGCTGAATAGCAGCTGTGCCCTTTCCTGCAGCAGCACACGTCTAGGAGATAATTTTCTGCTTTCTGAGAAAAGGTGGCTGTTTTTTGTGTTTTCCAAACAGCTCATCCAAAGTCCACTTGGCTAGTTAAGGATTGTTCGTCAGAATTTTTACCTGAGGTCCGACCTTGAACGTAGCCATCCCCTATAGAATGGCAAGCCGGTCTTGGTACATTTCCTCTTGATCTTATCCTACGCGGAATTTTTTTTGTCAGCTTCACTGTGTTTGTCTTTGTCAGGGTACATTTGGATGGTAGCCAATGACTGAAACGTCTTGGTACATCCTTCTTTTAGTAAGAATATCTCGCTTTCTTGTTTCGTCTATGACGGATTGGGTATAGTTCTCGCGATGACCCGCGTTCAGAAATCTGTGCACGTTGCTGATAACCACCCGCTTCTACGATTAGTTTGCTGAAGGTTTCTAATTTGATGAGCCTAGTGAGACCCTGAGGTGCTTCAAACTGTGCCAGTTGGTCCGCGCTATAAACTTGTCGCAGTTCTTAAGTCAGAGGAGGATCGCCCACCTCTATTTATGTGAGCGCCTCTACAGTAACTGCGTATCCCTAGCAATCATATGATATAAAGTTGATCTCAGTCACAAATCACCAGTTAGGAAAACTGATGTTCAGATAAGCGCTCTTCTTGCCCTTTCTTCCTTATTCATTGCCGACTCTAAGATAGCAGCTACAGTACGCGTTCTATTTAGGTTTACAGTCACTTTCCCACCAGGAAGACTCGCCACCAGCTTTGATTTCTTCTGCCATCTGCAGATTCACCTCTCTCTCACTTTATGTCTCCGATTTTTATGAAGAGGATACTGACATTTACGAACCCGAAGGTCTGAATCTCACACTTAGTTGTGCACGGAGGTACATCGTGAAATCGTAATCTCCAAATAAGCCAATACGCGCTAGAATAAGCTTCATCTCGGACGAAACGCATGTTTGGGATACATCGACGTCTCTCAAATGTTTTTTTAAAGCTGTATACCCACGAATTTAGAGGTATGAGCTGTTGCCGTCCCTGGGCAGCGCGACAAAAATTACATTTGGTTCTACAGTTAGTTGCAAATGAACAAGACAACTGCACCATCTTGACTTTATCAATTCTAGGTTGAATTGAGGGCTTTTAGACAGTCGATTTCTTATATGGCATCACTATGAAGACGTAATACAACTGATACACCTACACTACATAGGATTTACAATGTCTGCTGCGCTGTTGCGAGAAGGAGGAAAATATTACCGGAAGTGTAAACTCTTTTTAAAAAGAGTTTCAGAGACGTTTCAGAGATGTCTATCTTTGATCGGCTGTCACAAAAAAATGACTCCCACTTAAATTTACTGGGAAAAATGAACTTACCAACTCCTTGTTGAAAAAATTGGAATTCATTTGACCGATACGCCGGTTGTTTCAATTTTGCTTTTTCCTCGGGCTGCTATGAAACAGTTCATAAATTGACTAATGAATAAAATGTTTTGAAATACCGTTCGGGATTTGCCTTTTTTTTCAAATCAAGGGCAGACAAAGTTTTTAAAACATTTGACTAGAATTTCATGGAGTTTACCTCGATCATTTTCGTCGGCCAGAGTCAAGACGCGCCAAGCTAAGCGACATCGCCCCCCAGTAAAACAATTTGCCAAAGAACAAACGTGGCGAGCGTGAGGAAACGCACATTTTTTTCATCATTGTGATCAAAGCCCAATGATGTACCTAAATTGGTACTTACGTTATCAAACCATTGATTATGACAGGGTGAGCTTAGTTTTTCTGTTGAGGTCGACGTGACTTCACATTAAAAGCATTTTTGACGGAATAACTAGTGAGCATCACTGCACGAACTGAGAAAGTAAAAACTTGTATTTATCTCCCACGCGTTTCGTCTGATAATAGTAGACTTCATCAAGGATTTTTTAAAGTAGGGTAAATAAGCTTGCTCTTATATAAATAGTAAATAAGTTGTCTCTTTACTATTGAAGTCAGTGGATAGAATACGCCAGGTGCGCCTACGTGACATTTTCCGCACGTTACATGTACGAGTACGTGATCCGTTTGAGGGCCACAGATTTAGTATAAATATTTCACTCCTCAACATCACCCAATGTCTCTGGTTTACAGAGGTCTTAGAACGTTTCATTGTATGGAGTTGCCTTCTGCAGGTAGAGGGCTACCAGCGAATTTCTCAGGCGTAATTGCCTTTGATTTCTCAATTGATGTTGTCGCAAACACAGTTTCTGGGAGTCACGAGACAAAAAAACTTATCAGGACCTAGTTTCATGTTCTAATGGAAATAAATAGCAAATAAAAACACATTTTCTTGAGAAATAAAGTCACAAATGACAGGGGTTCTCTGAAACAGATAGTGATAGAAAAGGATTTCAGTTCTGGTCAATATTGACTTTTCATGGCCTACTTCCAAATCTGAGGGAACGTGCTGAGGGAATAAAAAAGCATAAATGTGTGATAATGCAAGCAAGAGAATGAAAATCCAAATGAAGAAAAAGGAGAAAACATAGAAAAAACACAGAGAGAAAACACACCCGTGTTGCAGCGTGCAGATATCTTTTGAACCAGACCTACACACATAAGCCCGACACGACCCAGAGAAACTCGAAAGAGTCCTGTATATGAACTAGCTCGCACGTGCACGCAGGAAAGGCCATGACAATCAGCGAAAATAATAGCAAATGCAGATGATGTTTGCAGTCAAAAAACAGGAAAATAAGATAACAGAAGGATTAGGAACCTTCTAGAATTTCCTTCTTGAAAAAAAAAGATGAACAATGTATACATCTCATGAAAGGTCACGCAGTAACCCTACAAATACTATTCCTATACGTGGAATTTCTTAATGGTGGAAAGCGGAAAAAACATTTTCCAGTCTTATTTTCTAGAAACATGGCGTAGTTAATGAATTTATGGGGCTATTGATATTTCCTAACAAATAAGGGGAGCAGAGTTTCCCGTCATTCGCGGTATGGAAAAGCCGAAGTTGTTACACTCGGGAACATGTACGTCAACAAGCAGGCGACATGTGACTTTAAAATCTCCTCTCCTGTTACAGTTTCCTTACTGTAAACTGTGCGATAATGATAATAGACGATCAAAGTATGGGCTAATGAATGTTTTCTTCTGTACAAGAGCCCTATGTCTTGATTTTAGCAAATCTTCAAAGTAATAAACGACTGAAGAAAGAAACGCAACGATTTTCCTATTGATTTTTCGTCAACATGCATCTCTCTAAACGGGAAATTTTCCATTCCTACAAAAAATCTCGAAAGTTTTTAACATTTTTCACCTTTCTTGATCAATCATCTTGTATAAAAAACTAAAAAATGTAGGTTTATTTTGTCAAGTGACCGCCTACAGCAAGAAGTGCGTGACAGGTGTAGTTGAGAGAAACTTGTCACAATCGCAGATTTTAAAAGGTATCCACGACAAAAATACGGTAATGCCCAAAGATTTTTTTGATGATTTTCAGAGACGAAATGATGGGTTATAAAGGGTAATTAAGATTAGTCTTGTAGCTTTCTGGCAACGGGAGATATTTGACATCAAAGTTGTAAAATATTTAGATGAATCGAAAAGTCTAAAAACACAGTCGTATATTTGCCTCTGTTGAATGACAAGCCGTCTATCAAACTGACTGATGCTCGCGGTGGCCATTAACTAAGGATGTAAAAATATGTGTGCAAATCTTCAAAGTAATCAGTTAAATACCATCGCAGTGAGAGCTTCATATATTTTACCTATTTGAAGCGATTTCATTAGCGAAAACCAAGAAAAAGCGGGGGGTGGTCTATCTCCCCACGGAAAAAACCAAAACAGAAACCAGTCTGTTTTTTTTTTTAGTTTTGGGGTAGGGCCTTTAAACTGACAAAGTTTCATTGAAATCGGTGAGATGGCATGTAGCACGACCGCCCGGTGCTCTCGTGGACACGCTCTTAAGTCACTATCTAGCTGTTTTAGAAAGAAGGATCAGGACTTACCTAACTCTTAGTGTTTTTGTGGGAGTTGTTGGTCCCAATTTAAGTGTTCTTAGAAGTTTCAGTTGTCTGTAAAGCTAAATAAATCTAACTGAAACCTAATAGGGCCTGTTTATTCTTTTCCGTTTAGTTTCTTTGTTTTGTTTTGTTTTGTTTTGTTTTGTTTTTTTTTTCTTCTGGTCTGTAATGATTTCAATGGTTCCAGGTTCTTTTCTCAGAATTGAGCTACAGTAATAGTATGCTTCTTTGTGTTGTTGCCTACAGGAGCCGCTGCTTGTGTTGAATTGAAGAGATTTGAAGAAGCAATCAGTTGGTGTGATAAGGGACTAGCTGTATCCTTTGAAAGAATCGTTCATTTTTAACCGTGGGTATAAAAAAAAGTTTCCATAATTTGATGTTTCAAGGGAGAAAATACAAAGAAGGGTATTAATTATGATGGGAACTTGTCAGCTCATATACTTTAAGTGTGTGTGATTGAAAATATAGGAGACTTTATTACCTCATGACTTATTAATGAAATTACTCCTTTTAGCCAATTTGACTTAGTTCTACTATCCATGCCAATAACTGTTACATTAGTTTAAATAACCCTTTAATTTCCAGACCAAATTTGTCTAGAAACGATAATAACAAAGTAGTTTGCATTTAAAAAGCAGCAATGTTTTTATCATAACAAGGTCACCCTTTATCATCCCTCTTGTTCAGAGGCTTGGGAACCAAGCACGCAAATGTTAAAATGGACTATTACATATCAATATGATCAGAAACATAATCTTTTTTGTTTTTTCCACATTTTTTACCCTTAACATAAAAAAGATTGACAAAAACAATAGGATCTTGTTGTCATTAAGACTTCAGTCTGTCAGTGAAGTGGGAGATAAGTCCATGGAGGAAAAAATTCCTATTAGCCATGCCCATGGTAGTGCAAGTTCAGGTGATGTCAAGAAAGTCATAGATCTCTATAATCGGGGAGAAGAAGCCATAGAGTACCTCAACCTATATCTTAAAAAAGCTAAAGAAGTAGGAGACAGGCATGGGGAGGGTGGTGCTTATGGCAATCTTGGCAATGCTTATCACCGTCTGGGTGATTTCAAAAAAGCCATAGAGTACCACAACCTACATCTTAAAATAGCTAAAGAAGTAGGAGACAAGCATGGGGAGGGTAGTGCTTATGGCAATCTTGGCAATGCTTATGACAGTCTGGGTGATTTCAAAAAAGCCATAGAGTACCACAACCTACATCTTAAAATAGCTAAAGAAGTAGGAGACAAGCATGGGGAGGGTAACGCTTATGGCAATCTTGGCAATGCTTATGACAGTCTGGGTGATTTAAAAAAAGCCATAGAGTACCACAACCTACATCTTAAAATAGCTAAAGAAGTAGGAGACAAGCATGGAGAGGGTAAAGCTTATAGCAGTCTTGGCAATGCTTATAGTAGTCTGGGTGATTTAAAAAAAGCCATAGAGTACCACAACCTAGATCTTAAAATAGCTAAAGAAGTAGGAGACAAGCATGGGGAGGGTGGTGCTTATGGCAATCTTGGCAATGCTTATATTAGTCTGGGTGATTTAAAAAAAACCATAGAGTACCACAACCTAAATCTTAAAATAGCTAAAGAAGTAGGAGACAAGCATGGGGAGGGTGGTGCTTATGGCAATCTTGGCAATGCTTATCTCTGTCTGGGCGATTTCAAAAAAGCCATAGAGTACCACAACCTAGCTCTTAAAATAGCTAAAGAAGTAGGTGACAAATCCCTTGAGGCAATGGCCTACTCTTCACTAGGATGCGTTTTTGAGTTGCAAGGTGGACTGCCAAAAGCCGTTGAACATTATCAAGCTAGCATAAAATTATTCAATTCCTTGAGAGTACTTCTAAAATCTAAAGATGAGTGGAAAGTTAATTTTCGAAATCAGCAGCAAATGGCGTATACGGGTTTGTGGAGAGTTCTAGTAGAACAAGGTAATGTAGATGAAGCCTTATTTGTTGCTGAGAAAGGACGAGCTCAAGCTCTGACCGACCTCATAGAATCCAGTTTTTGTGGTGGAACAAGTCACCACAGGGGAGAAGATGAAGATTTCACAGTTTTAAAAAACGTTCCATCAAACACTGTCTTTCAGGCAGTGGACGAAGCTGACGTCAATCTTTGGGTTGTTTCCGAAGGAAAAAAAGTTCGGTTAAGACAAAGTAAACTCAAAGGTTTTGTTTCAGAGAATAGTGGATCTAGCCAGTCCTTTGAGTCGTTCATGCTCGGTGTCTATACACAACTTGGTGTTCGTTCTAATGTGAGATGCGAGAATCGATCTTTAGATGCTTTGAGGGAGGGCTGTTCAAAAGTGGATGAGAAAACCAAAGAAGCCAACCCTCAACCTCACATCCAACAAGACGGATGCTTGAGCACTTTGTATGATATCGTTATGAAGCCGGTGGCTGACTTGATTGAAGGGGATGAGCTACTCATTATTCCTGATGGACCCCTGTGGATCGCTCCTTACGCTGCATTGAAGGATGGTAATTCTAAATACCTGTGTGAATCGTTCACAATCCGAGTCGCTCCATCGTTAGCAAGTCTTAGACTCATTGCCGATTGCCCAGATGATTATCACAAAAGCAGTGATGCGTTACTTGTAGGAGATCCGTGGGTATCCGAGGTTACTAACAGCGAGGGAGAGAAAGTCCTCGAGCAGCTTCCGTTTGCTAAAGAAGAAGTAGAAATGATCGGGAAAATTCTGAATATCACGCCAATCACTGGCAGACAAGCCACGAAACGTGAGGTGTTGAAAAGACTCAGTTCCGTTTCCTTAGTTCACTTTGCGGCACACGGATGTCCGGAAACTGGCGAAATTGCTCTTACACCTGACCTAGACCGAATATCAGCTGTGCCTACGGAGAAGGAGGATTACATTTTAACGATTCAAGATGTGTTGAATGTTCAACTTCGCGCCAAACTTGTTGTGCTCAGTTGCTGCCACAGTGGTCGGGGCGAGATCAAGGCTGAAGGTGTGGTTGGCATTGCGCGCGCTTTTATGGGGGCTGGTGCTCGGTCTGTTGTGGTGTCCCTGTGGGCGATTGATGACGAGGCTACTCTCCAGTTCATGAAATGCTTTTATCAACACCTTGCAGAAGGTAAACCAACAAGCAAGTCACTGAACCTGGCCATGAAAAGCCTCAGAGAATCAGATGAGTTCCACGAAATCAAATACTGGGCGCCCTTTTTGCTGATTGGAGATGACCTCACGTTTGACCTGATGGCAAAGGAAAGAGAAAATTTGAATAGAAAATCAAATAAATGAGAAGAATTTTTTTTTCATCTCAAAAGAATGAAGTAGGAACTTGGAAGGTTTAAATGTTTCTCTATTTTAAACAATTTTTGGCTATTTTTCTTTACTTTTTATTTTTTTGTTAAATGGAACTTAAGATGTGCAACTTTACTATGGTGAAGAAATAAACCAGTCTATTTCATTATATTTTGATCAGTGGAATTGTCTTTTTTATTAACCTTAACAAATTTAAATGCTTGCGAAGAGAACGAAATGCAACAAGGCCTCTGTTATGAACGAGGTTTCCATTTCCACCAACATGTCACTCAGCTCTGTTCCTGTATTACAATCAGTTGTATGGAAAATAATTTAAAGGTTATTTCTTTTACCCAACCAGGGGCTTTTCCACTGGATTTTAATTACCTTTATGCTCTAAGCTTTTGATAAGCAAAGAAACAATTCGTCATTTCCAAAACTTTGATTGAATATGTATCTCAATTGAATATGTGAATTGATCTTAGACCGTTTTCTACATCATAAATTACTTTGTTACAATTTACCTTCATCTTTACAAAAAAATTGATTACCATTCTCAAGTCAATCCATTTTAATGCAATCTAATTCTGTCAGTGCCAAGATTGCCATTCTAAGCTTAATTTGAAGAAGTAAACATCAGAGATGATGTTATTAAATTTACTAACCATATGTTAGAGACATTACACCTACTTTTAGGGGTGTAGCCAGCCTCTAGTCCCGTAGGCCCGGCCTACAATTGTTTTCTGCCCGCTTGACTTTTACTAAAAGATAATATGACTCTTGCAAATGTTGAAACAAAAACTGAAATTTGTGAGGGAAGAGGCTTAAATTTAGTCAAAAAGCTGGCTACAACGCTGTTTTCAATCAAACGAGTCTGGCTAATTTTTGTCTTTTTTACCAAACACTTCTCCGTTCGGTTTAAAGAACGACGACAGAGAGGCTAAAAATTGTCCATGTAATCTAAACTAGGAAAGAGGGACGCAGAGTTCACTATAATTGAAGTTTCCATAGGTGTGACTTTTATTGTATGTGACATGGAATTTGTTGTTTCTAGTACGACAATATTTACGCTCATAAATGAGAGAAGCGGTTAACGTAAGCCATGAAGTCCTCAATGGGAACTATTTCGGTGAAAAGGCTCATTAATTAATGTAAACCTAATGCGTAGTTGAAAAAGTTCAGGTCTTCAGGATAAAACTTCTAATAGTTGAGAATCACCTCTTCAAATTTTTTCATCGCTTGAAATTTACCTCAGCATGATTTGAAGATGTCTGATAATATTTTTGTCAGGTTTAAGAATTTATAGTTTGGTATTTGGAGCACACTTTTTAATTAAAACCCGTTATGTGGTCAAAAGTTTTAAGATATACTGTATCACTACTGTTTTAGAAGAAAGCTTTGTAAAATCAATCTTAGTTTTGCAGATTATTGTAACTACCATTGGTAAATGCTGGTATGAAATGTAATAGTTAACCTCACACATGGTTAAATATAATGTAACAGGATTTTAAAGACATGCTGGGACAGTTTGAACTTAACATGGTTTGTATAATGTCAGTGTATTTCGTGTGAAGTGTTTTGATGCTATTTTTATTGTAAGTTGAAGATAACTGTTCATTTACCTTAGTTTATATTAATTAACTCATGAACTCCCAAGTTCTGAAGAAAAATTCTCCCAACTGATAAGAATGTGTTTCTCTATGCTGCCGCTTGTTCCGAGAATTCGATGTAACATTACGTTTCTAGTAAAAGATTATCCTCCAGTTTGGATTTCTCTAATTGTTATTGACACCATGTTTGTCGGTGTATTAATACCGTGAGTAGAATTTAAATTATGATCAGTCTTGGGAGTAAATGGTTCATTTTAGCGTCTCCGTTTAGCGCGTATTTTACTTAATGCCTTGAACGTTTTAATGCAGTTTCTATTGTGCTTATTTTTTTACTTCTTTGTGTAAGAGAAATATAGAGTGTATAAAATACAAAAACTGCGTTGATTTACAGTATCTGTCTCCATGTTCTTAGGATGCACGTAAGATGTAGAGAAAGCAGATCCTATGGGGACTTCAAAGCTTGTTTTGACCCGCACGCCAGGTTGATAATGTGTGCAGCTAACAGTGTACTAAAATTCCATGTTTCAAACTCCCGCCTACTTAACAAAAGCGCGTCATCTCTTCGATTGTGTCTCTTTCACTGTCTATCGTTCTCCGTATTGCCACACGGTTTTGAACGCCGAAGGACGTGTTCATACTGTTACATATGTGCGCCTTTTTTATCTTTTTCCTCACACAAGTTTTTACGCCTTTTCACATTTGCGCATCCCTTTTTTTCTCCTTCCTCTGGTTCCTTCATTTTTTTTTTCATCGCAATTTTCCTTTATTCCCATCTTTACGCGCACCTCTTTTATCGCCCTCAACTTTATTCTTCTGCGCTTTATAGGACGCGACTATCTCCTTGTCTTTTTCAGTTTTCACTCGTCTCAATCTTCGCGCAACGTCTGGCATCTTACAACTCATATACCTCGTTACTCCCCCATAGTAGTTGTGATCATGCGTATTATGTCCACTTTGGGACGGTGTCCTCTTAAAGTCATCTCTAGTAAAATCTCAGTTTTCCTTTCGATCGATTCCTAGTCCACAGGGTGCCAGTGCTTGCTCTCCTCAGTCCTCTCATCATAATAGCAGTTATAAAGCGGAAGAGCTCCCTCCAAGTCTCGGCGACATAATCGGTGCATTTAGTCGGAAACGAGTCCCTCAATGTCCAAATTAAGGCTTCTTCTATCATCTGATTGGGAATGGGTCAAACTCTCGCCCCGGGTGCACCTACAATGCGAATCCAAGATGGCAGCAGGCCAATCCACAGCCGGACTCTACTGAGTCGGTAGCTGTCATCTCGGATGTAGACGCAGAGAAGACCCTGAGGAAGAGTTTTGACAAAACAATAATTAAGAAAGGATAAGTTACAATAGTGCTTAGAGAGATAGCCGATGACAACTTGAGAGATTCATCATGAGCAAACACGTTCCGTCGATTATTAAACTCCATGTCTCCTCGAACTGAATACGCACTCCTATATGCCCCTCTTCCCCGTCCCTATACATCCCTGTACTGCAAGTTTTATTATCATACAGCACAATACAACATTATACCCCTGAGTAGCACTGTAAATCCGTAAAATGCAGTAACTAGACAACGCTTCACAACAATATGTACCCCTAGATAGCACTATGCTTCCCTCTACTGAATTTTAAATCAGCATACAGCGCTATATAAACAATTGCTCCAATGCGGCGGTCATTTTCTCGAATTTTCTGTTCCAAGATGCGGAAACTGTGAGCTTCGAGGAACAGATAATATCCAAGGACAAATATCCGTACATATTTTCGCGCAAAATAGACGCTATTGCGTTTTTTATCCTTCAAATATTTTGCGACGCACGTGAAAAATGTTAATGAACGGCTTACTGAATTGAATTAAGAAAGGGTTAAGTTTCTAAAAAAACTGTGGTGCTGCGTCGGTGGGAGAGTATAACATGGTAATTTAGTATTATCAACTGAGTTGATAACGTAAATTGGCCACTGCAGAGAGTTTAAAAACTGACGTTTCGAGCGGTAGCCCTTCGTCAGAGCGATTGCAAAGGGCAAACGCTTGAAACGTGAGCTTTTAAACTCTTTGCGGTGGGCAATTTACGTTATCGATTCAGTTGATAATGCCTAATTACCCTGAATTGCATTAATTTTGAGACGAAGACTTATCGTGGTGGACGTAAGGTCTGCAAATTGGGGAATATCATTTAGGCGATATTCTCGGATATCACCTAGTTTTAGCCAGGGAATATTCAGTCACTTACTGCGTTTAGACCAATCGCGCGCGAGCAAAATTATTTGATGGATCATAAGCAATAATATGTACCCCTAGATGGCACTACACTTCCCGCTACTGTAATTTACATCACAATACAGCGCTATACAACAATATGTACCCCTAAGTAGCCTTGATCGGCATAATAGAATACATACATCGAAATGCTCCAGCCTCACGGGCCATACTTTATGTCTTTCTCCCAAGTTCATTAAATATTCGATGAAAACCTCTGCGTCGTTCAAAGAAAACAGAGCATTTTCCAGCGCAGTTATGACTCGTCTGACGTGAAGATACAGAGATCGAAGGTTGATTACGGCTTCAAGTTTCAAACTCTTAAAGGCGGGAAATATGTCTTGAATTCTTAGGTTGGACTCAAAAAGTCTGAAACAAAATCATTCATGATCATCTTTATCAATTCTGAATAATTGAAATTCGATTCACGTTTACTTTGGATAATAAATTTTACTCCCATTTTGCCAGTTATACAAAGAAATCAAGACACTGAGCAATACCCACAACAAGACACAGCTACAGTGTTGTGAATCTCCATCCTCATCTTCAACAGAACTGTGCTACCACGAAGGTAGTGCGCGTGCGTTTGCATTTAAAAGTCACTTTTGCACAAAATAATGACCCGATTGGCAAGAATACAGGCTAAACACGCAACAGCGCTGGTGCTTTTGCGTTTGCGTTCTGGCGTTTGCTCTCTAAAAGGCCCGAGAAAACGTTTTCATTCAGTTGTCTATTAAATTATTGATTGTTTTCATTCTTCGGGTTCTTCTTTTAAACCGGAACTCGATTCTTAGCGACTTGTTCAAATATTGCTCTAGTTAAGACGTTACTTAACTCTTTATACAATAGGAAATAGACAAACAACAGGTAGCACCTTTTAAAGGACATTAAACACGTTATGATAAGTCTGCAAATTCTTTTGACAACAATAGCCATCAACAATTCATAAACATCGGTCGCAGTTGCGAAGTTTACGCGTTACATTTGAGTGTTTTGCATTTGGAAAACTCATTTCTATTTATACGATGACTAGCCCTCTTTCTCACAAATGTGAAAATTATTCTTAACCTGGTCAGCTCAAAAGTGACTTAGACAGTAAAAATAATGTCAGCAAATATAAACAGC